CTCAGTGTTGCTTACCTTTTTCCAGCTCAGCTGAACACCTTCTGCGTTGGTGTTGGGGGAAGAACCATTCTCAGGTCTTCTGCCCAGTTTTTTCCCCCAAACCAGAGCTTCTCTACCAGCAGCCACCTCCCTCCATCTCCTTCAGGGTCTTGGGTGAGTCGCCACCTGCAACTAGCCACATCCCTCCTTCACCTCTTGGGTCTTGGGTGGAGCTCTCACTCCTCTGGGCCTTCACTTCCCTTCTTCTAGGGATCCCCCCGGGCCTTCCTTCTCCTTTCCCCAAACAGGAACTGGCAACTGTTCTGCACACTTACCTTCTCTCTCCTACTTCTCTCTAGCTACTTCGTTCACTCCAGCAACAAACTTTTACTGTCTACTCCTTCTCTCTCTCTCTCTCTCGTCCCCCCCCCCACCAATTTTGGGTTACTCTGGCAGCATGTCCTGCAGCAACTGAGGTGGTGGTCCCCCCCCAGGGAAGAAATATCCTTTCAGACTTGCAAGATTCTGTTACTGTAACCTTACAATAACGTATATTTAATTCATCTGGGTATGTTTCCTGCCTGGACTACCTCCCAAGGCTGACATCAGTCTTGTAAGTCTGAAAGGACTTTTCTCCCCTGTCACCTTTACAGCCCAAGTAACTAGGGAGGGTCTCTTCTGAGCCTCTTGCCCCGTCCACATTCCTGCTGCAGGCTAAGCTACCTCTTATCTGACTGTTCCCTGGCTGTGGCTCTTCCCTCAGTCTCCCAAGGTCATTCTCATATACCATTACACTAACCTACCACTACAAGTGAACAAGTCCTTCCCACTCATGCTTAGATTTATGTCATGCACAAATAAACCAGCCTCACCAATAAAAATCTGGAGATAGGCTTATATCCAAGTCAACCAGAATCTGAACAAATTCATGGCCACTCCTGTAAGCTCTCAAATTGACAGCTCAGAATTTGTTGAATTATTTTTATGTACCTATGTATGTATGCACTCATTGCACTCATATACAGCCGACTCTGCCAAGCCCTCTGCCAATCAAACCGTCCAACCATAGTTCAAACAACCAAGATCGATAAATACTTGCATTAAATGCAGTTAAATCCAGTAGGTGGATGGAGCTGTTGTCATCCATCCAAAAATAACGTTGCAACAACATTGATGGTGGAGATGAGTTACCAGATGCACTTAAGAGTTCCTTCTTCATCATCTCTGAGAATGATATTCAGGAAGGGGGCAATTTAATTTTTAAGGGGAGGCCAATGCTGGCTACTTCTTTGTGTTGGATGAGACCACTGGGGCAGAATAATGCGTGATACACTTAAAAAAGGGGTGGATTGCACAGTTACGGCCGCCATGTTGACGTTTCAGCCCTCCCACGTGAATGTCCTTGCACTGGGAGACACGCTTTCGCCTTTTATCCTTCCCCACCCCCTGGAAGAAATCAACTTTTTCTCCAGCTGTGATTAAAATTCAGCTGCCAACGTGATGAGATTTTCCTCCTTCCTCCCAGAATAACTTCCCAACTTTTTAATTTGCATGAACATTTTCAAGACTGGGTGGATCCAACAGACTTAGCCAGGTTAGCTAAAGTCTTAAAGGCTGCATTTCCACAACATGCTAAGTTTGGTTGGGGTTCATTTGTGTGGGTGTGTCTTAGCATGTTGCGTGAACTTAAATTGCTTGGTTAGTTTATGGCTCAGTACAAACCTCCCAAATGGTGAATTCACTAACCAGGTTAAGTGTGTTGTGTGCAATGTTTTGGGCAATGTTTTCGCTGTTAGCAAATTAAGTTATCTTGGCTTGTTTGAAATCCTTCTGGTAGCTTTAGACGTGGAGGAATTTTTTTTTTTTTTTTAAAAACATTATGAGTAAGAAGTTTAATCCAGAGTGTAAAACTAAGAAAGAAGGCCTGGATCATGGAATAGCTTAGCTTCAGAGTATGGTGGATCTCTTTCCAAAAAGTTTAGCTCCCTTATTTCATTCTAGATCCCAAGCCAGGTTGGACATGAAGTGTTAGACACGAATTTACCACTTTGGACTATATGAGAGAAGAACTCCTTCTGGTATACAAAAAACAAGCATTTTCTTAGTTTATCATTCTTTCGGCCTGCTGGGTGGATTTTGATTAAGAAGGGAGTTTACAAAAATATGTAAATTAAAAATAGGCCCCCCGACGAGATTTCCTTATTTGAAGTCTGCAATAGAGCTATTTTATGTTTTGAACGGCCTTGTATTTTTTTTTCATTTTCATTTGACTTTCCTTTGCCGCCCCTTCTGTGTAGAGGTGCAAGGCCGCTGTGTAAAATGGATTCCTTGGTGCCCGCTTTCCACATTTTTACGCTGATTTTGCATCGGCGCTGCTGCTGAACCTTTGACTGGCCACTGTGGGTATTCTTTCTACCAGTCAGGCTGGGTGCCTTAACTCCGAAAGAGAAACTTCAAAGTTAGTCGAAAGTGTGAATCATTTAGCTTTCCGACTTCAGCTTCAGAGTGAATTTTAAAGGGGGCCAAAGTTAACTGTTAATAATAAAGACTCTCTTTGAAGGTCTGTTGCATTAGCTTAATGGTGGGTAATTAGCTCAGGGTGGCATAGACTTTTGATATTAACCGGGTGTCCCGTTAGGTAGGTGATTATGAGATGAAAGACGTGATCCAATCCTCCTCCCGTACGGGCAATGATTCGGTGGTTTGGGTCTCTAAAATGTGTGTGTGTGGGGGGGTAGTTTGTGGTTTAGCATATTCTTGGAACGCAACATTGACTTACTGGAGGGGTCTGCAAGTCAAAAAAGTCAAGATGGAGGGCACCACGACACAATCGAACCACTAGCCCTTTGCTCCATGACTTTTTTGACCTCCCCTGTAGATGCCCCTAGTCTCTGCCAAGATGAGTGGAGCTAACCCAGATTGATTGATTGATTATGTGCCATCAATTCGTTTTCAACTTCTAGTGACCACACAGGTAGATTTTCTCCACGACCATCTGTCCCTGACCTGGTCTTTCTATTGGTGCCCCCATGGCCACTGTAACTGAGTCCCTCCACCTTGCTGCTGGTAATCCTCTTCTTCTCCTTCCTTCCACCTTTCCCGGCATCAGAGCCTTCCCCAGAGAGCTGGGTCTTCATGTTGATTGATTATGTGCTATCAAGTTGATGTCAACTCTTAGTGACCACATAGATCAGTGTTTCTCAACCTTGACGACTTTGAGATGCGTGGACTTCAACTCCTAGAATTCCCCAGCCAGCCATGTCCACACATCTCAAAGTTGCCAACACTGACATAGATAGATTTTCTCCAGGAGGATCTGTCCCCAACCTGGTCCCTCAGGTCTTCCAACAGTGCCCCCATGGCCACTGTAACTGAGTACCTCCACCTTGCTGCTGGTCATCCTCTTCTTTCCCAGCATCGGAGCCTTCTCCAGAGAGCTGGATCTTCGCATCATGTGTCCAAAGTAGGATAATTTGAGCCTGGACATTTGTGCCTCAAATGAGAACTCTGGGTTGATTTGATTTGTCATCCATCAGACCATCATCATAAGCCATAATATGATTCATCCGGAGTTGGGCTCTATACAAATTTAATTAATAATAATCATTAAAATTGATGCATTCGTAGAAGATTTATATATTGAATGATGTAAAAATACCAATATTAAACCCATTAGATATTAACATAAATAAAATGTTTTTCATGAAAAAAAAACCCTATATTTTTTAACAGATAAAAAATAATAATGAGAAGAGTGACATTGTTTTAAATTTTTGCAAGGATCTTCAATATCTGGCAAAGAAGTTTGATTTCACGGACCCCTGGGAGGGTCTCGGGGCCCTTAGACCACACTTTAAGAAACACTGAAACATTGGATGAATTTTCTCCCTTCTTTATAAGTTCACCGCTAGGAAAACCAATCTCACCTTTAGTGTGGCGTAAAGGACTTAGACACGCAACTACTTGATTATTCAAGCCATGCGACCCATCAGACCATCATCTTAAGCCATAATATGATTCATTGAGAGTTGGACTCTATAAAGATGTGTCATCTTTATAAGCCACAATTCCCTCCTTCCTTCCTTCCTTCCTTCCTTCCTTCCTTCTTTCCTTCTTTCCTTCTTTCCTTCTTTCTTTTCTTCTTTTTCTCTCCTTCCTTCCTTCCTCCTGGCCATCAGCCTTGGCCATTTTTTTCTGTACATGGAGCCACGCTAACAATAATGCACATAATGTGGTCTAGCCAATCAGGGATCCTATAGCTAGTAGATACGAGAGCCGCTGTGCTGCAGTGATGAAGGTGGTGGACTCTGAGCAGGGAGACACAGGTTTTAGTTCACCCTCAGCACAAAAGCTCCCAGGTGACTTTGGGCTAATGACTCCCTCTCAACCCAACCTACCTCACAGGGTTGTTGTGGGGAAAAATAGGAGGAAGGAATACTCTGTATGCTGCCTTGAGCTCCTGTACAAAAGGCAGGATAGAAATCCACTCAATAAATAAAATATCTTAAATCTAATCAGCTTTAGCTATAGGGTGCAGGCAAGTTGCACAATCAGAGTGAGAAGTCGTCTCATTTTGCAGCCTAACGATCCACCCTTTGGTAGAGGGACATTTTGAAGATGACAACTTTTGGGGAGGAGAAGTTTTTCTCATTTTGGCACAGCCATAGCGAATTAAAGAGAACCCCAGATCTTCAGTGAATGGCTTGGAAATATCCTTGCTTTCTTTTCACATAAGCTACATCTTTTTGCTGTTTGAGAGGATCACTATCATCCCCCAACCTAGGTCCTCCAGATATTTGGGATTATAGTCCTAATCACCCCCAAGATAACTAGCTCTGATAGACATTGCATTTTAACCTATTTCTGGTTCGAGAAGAACAGCTGAACCAGCAGGTTGGTTAAAACTGTCCCCTTGATCAATATCGCTACAGGAAGGAGCACCAGTCCCATGATGCTTGACGCAAACTTTTTGATGACTTCTGACATCCTTGGATTCTGTTTCCATCTCCCTTGTTTCTCAGGTGCACCAGGAAGGAACAGTGTGAGCGCTCCAGCGAGCCTCGGAGGTTTGCCTCGGAGATGAAGCAATGTGTCCGACTCACCGTGCACCCCAACAACATCTCAGTCTCCCAGTATAGTGTGACGGTAAGGACGGTGGCTTTCTTTTACATGTGAACTCTCTCATCCCAGCCCACCCGCTCCCCAGTCTTCTTGCATGATGCCCTTGTCACCTGAAGATAGCCTTTCCCAACCTAGTCGCTTCACCTGCATTGGGAATCTGACTCACGGTTTGGCTGTGCTCCCACAACACATTTAATCAGGTTAAATCTAGGTTAAAATTAACCAAGCTTAGTATGTTGTGTTAGTGCAACAGGTGGTTTTGTAAATGACCTAGTTAAAGGTCTTGGGCAAATGCGAGTGAGTCCCACCATGGCATTGTCTGCAATCCATCCCACGAGCCATAAAGGGTCCTTAACCCCTGGTCTTGGTTGGAGAAAGCCCCCCTGGAAAGATGATACAAATCCTGCACTCCCTTCTTTATTGTATATTGGTGCTGTTTAATATATCTGATAATTCACCAACTCATGTCTTGGTACAAGAACTCAGCTCATCTTTCTCTCCCATATGTCCATCTTGGATCAATGAGATCTTGGCTGCCCCAAGGCGTGGTATGGAGAGTTAAGAGTTGTGTCCGAAAGTGGGAAGGATCGGGGCATGGGGGGTGGGGGTGG